CCACTGCCTTGTTAAGTCTTGCTGTCATTTTGTGAAGGAGATCCAGCACTTGCATGTTTTTAAAGCAAAGTCCTGCCATTTCAGAGGCAGAAATGTGGGTGGGAGGAACCAAACAGACTAGACTAGAAGCAGACGGTACCAAAGTATTTTAACTATTGAAGTACTCACTTTTGTTCCATTACAGGATTAGTAAATCCTGAATCCTTATATTTTCTTCTTCCAGAAAATAGCTGTAGCAACCCCCTGGCAGGTTTGCTCTCTAGTGCTGCTCTACGTAGAGGATACTAGTCTGTTATTGTTAACATTAGTTAGTTAAAACAGCAGAGGTCTATGCTGTGGCTCTGAAGGTCTAAATGTTTCATATTGTGGGTAAATACGATCCCATGTGGAGGAATTTCTGACTTGGTAGGTGATGTATTTTTTATTTTTGCTCTGGGCAGCACATTGCCGAGTGCCTTACACTAAACGGATGTTAACATCTGAAGTGGCAGGCTCAAACAGCAGGAACGCAGGTTAGCCGTCCCAGGTGGTATCGGTTCTCGTTCAGCGCGTTGCCTGTTTACCTTTTAAGTTTTATTTGATTTGGGTGCTCCGACTACTTGATGTCAATTTCTAGCTTTTTCACAAAGATCTGATATTCAAAAAAACTGAAATTGAAATCTGGTATTCATAAAACATTTTCAGTAATTTAAAAGTCTGTATATTTCTTTGAGTACTACATTTTAAAATGCTTTGACGTGGTGCTTATATTTTGGACTCTAGATCATTTGATGTAACACAGATGCTAAGTGATTAAAAGGATCTTAACAAAGCCTGTCATCTTTGTTACCTATAGCGAGGCCTAGAAATTTGGGATGGCGAAGCTCCTGTGGAGCTTCTGGGTGGGGAAGAAGCCTGTTTGTTTCCTTAATTAAGTGAAAATGAAAATGTTAAATCTGGTGTTACTTTTCTCCCAGGACACAGATTTCGGTATACGTGGAGAGGTTGAAGCAGGCAGCTCTCCATCCTTTGGGTTCTCATGTAATAAACTTTTTTCCTGAAATATCAGGACTTACGAGGTATCTTTGCTGATCTTTGGCAAACTGTTACATTTTATTTTGGAACTGAATGCCTGTCCATTAGCGTGCTTCATCGTCTGGACCTACGTGGGTTATTTTGTTCCTTTGTTCACTATTGAGAAACTAATACCTAGAAGATAACTCATTTGTTTCCTTTTTCCCCCTCTCCCTGTGATATTTTTAGGTTAGAGAATTAGGGTTTAACAATGAAATAAAATAAAATTTGAATATCAACTGTGATGTATTATGGTGACAGTAATATAAATGTGTAGCATTGCTTACACTATTTTAATAAGCTAGGAATGTTCTAGAAAGGACAAAGTTTAGAACGTTACTTTTTGCCAGTTTGGGATCCATATATGAACAAAGCCAGAAGAACATCAGCCTTGCTGTATTTAATATATGTTCAGTGGTGGTATTTTGCAGGAAGTTGCTAATGAATTCTTCAAGAGCTCCAGTAATGTAATTTTTTAATAGTCCTTTTTTTGTTGTTGTTTTCATGCAGGTTACGATGAAAGCCAAACAACTGAAGGATTCTGTCATGTATACACCAGGTGTGTGCTACTAGACCCTCCCTGATGCTTATAAAAAGCACTGCATTTGGATTATAGCTATGCAAATACAGTGCATTTTGTGCCTTTCAGGGTATGCTTTGCAGAGAGACTTTTGCAACCTTGCCTTACTTTGAGCAAAGAGAAGAACTGATGGGGTTTCTGAGGGAATGTTTCCCTGTAGCTACATCCTCCCAGGCTTTCTTACTCAGTTTATTGTGGGGTTTGTTCATTTGTTCACGCCGTTCTGTTATGTTTGTTTATATCAGTGTGGTCATTTGCTAGTACTTCACATATACCAGATAAGCTCATAATTGGCAAAGTTCATTGCTTCATAACAAATACCCTGATTTCTTGACAAGCATTTTCCTTAAAGTCTTAATCCAGACGAGCTTTTTCTCCTCTCTGCACTATTCTGGGTACCTTTTATTTGCAGGCAGTTCCCTGCTTGTTTGTGGTTTGTTTTATTTTTTTTAGAAGTGTAACAACCGTACTTCTAACAGGCATCATTAGGCTCTCCGAGCTTAAAACGCTGGCCCAGAATTCCAAGAACGTCAAAGTCAATGTGAGTTTGCCAGACCACATAATCACCCGGCGAGAAAGGGAGGAGGAAGAGGAAGAGGAGGAGGAGGGGAACTACAATCATATCCCAGAGCAGAGGGATGTCCAAATAGATCAAAAGGAGACCATTGCAAGTGAAACTAGACACCGCAAACGAAAAATTCTCAAAGTGCCTGAAATGACTCTACCAGCAATGAGAGAGGTGCTAGAAGAGAAGGGCAGAGGAAGACGCCAGAAAGATTTTGATAACGCCGAGCAAGAGGAAGAGAGTGATGATGAAGGCAGAAAAAGGGAGAAAAGCCATGCCCCAGAAGAACTGTGGACTCAAAATCAACAGAAACTTCTTGAAATGGCCTTGCAGCAGTATCCAAAGGGAACATCGGATCGCTGGGATAAAATAGCAAAATGTGTTCCTGGAAAAAGCAAGGTATGCTTAGTTTTGTTTGAACTATAGTATAAATTGAGGGGAAACATATTTTCTATCAATTTATGATTACCTTAAGAACTGAGGGTCCGTGCAGAAAGGTGAGGTCTTTACTTAGCCTATCAGTCCAGGCATAATCGACCTAAAGAGCATTACTGTCATGTTTGTTGCTTTTATTTAAAATACATTTTCATTTGTTTGTTTGATCTATTACAGAAAATGTTGAAATACCCCCCGTTTCATTTAAAATACCTACCCCTCCTCTGCCTTTCAGATCTTCAATTGCAGGACAGATTAGATTTTAAAACAAATTTTGATTCAAAGTTTATTAGTAACCAAATGTTGGTGAGCTGCTTTGCTTACACTGTTACAATACCTTTCTCAACCCATCTCAATAAACAAACAAAATAAGCAATCCATCTGCAAGTGTTAACTGCTCAATAACCTATCCAATGTTCTGTTTGTAAGTATAATCTTTTTAAAATAGTGTTCATTGTCATTGATACAGTTGGTCTGTGTCAGAATCCGTAATAGTTGTGATTGATAGATTAGTGTGCTTGCTTCAGTCACTGTAGCTGCAGGAAATCCTAATTTTATTTGTGCCAAAACCAGTGTGAGAGGGGAGGAAACGTGGGCGGGGGATTTGAGTGTTTCTCCGGCTCTGAAGCTGTTGGACAGTATCTGGTGTCAGTAGGTGCCATGTTAGTGACCGCAAAGGCTTGTCTTTAACAGCGTCACCTATCCGCAGTGTGGCTCATGCCAGAGTAACTGTTCTGAAATAGGTATTACAATACAACTGTTGAATAACTGCTTTTACAGTCGTCGTCAAGAAATACTGGGTAACTGTTTTCTTGGGTTTGTGTCCTCTTTAAAGAGAGGAGTATCCATTAAGAAACGTAAATTGGGGGGTAAGGGGGGGGGGGGGGGGGGAGACCCCAAAGAACCCCCCACAACCCCCAGAACCTAGCTCTTCTTCTGGAATGAGGTAGCATGTGTAGAGTTAAAGCAATACTAAAATATCAAACTTTAATTAACACTTTTGTTTTTCCTTTTAGGAGGAGTGTATAGCAAGATACAAGTTGCTTGTTGAACTGGTACAAAAGAAAAAAATGGCTAAAAGCTGAATGTTCTGAGCAGAAGATATTTAGCTCATCTTTGTCAAAATGGGGTTTTAAATCTCATATGCGGGAAACTGCATTTTTGTACCTCAGTATTTCTATACGTCATGTGCCTTAGTAAAAGAAAATATCAATAAATCTTATACCATCCTACCTACCTATTTTGTGTGTTGAAGAATGAAGGTCTGTTTTTTGTGTTGGAGAGCTGCTTATGCAGATGTGTGACAACAATGTCTTAAAAATTAGTGGACCTTCAGGAAAAGCCACACTGATAATTGCATACCAGAACCGGTAGGTTTACAGCTAATGAATATACAGAATATAAAGAATTTTAAATGTCGTTTTGAAAATGAGAATTGATCTGAAACTGTTAAGCAAGGACTAGTAATGGAATGCTGCACTCAAGATATTTTTTCCTTTCTTGCAGCTATAAATAGAAGACAGTATGCCTGCGAGCATGTCTGCTGCTTCGTGAAATGTCTATTCATTCTAACAGTATTTGGAAAGCAGCAGTATTTCTAATCATAACTTCCATGTGCATTTATATGCACCTACAATAGAACGCCTTTTTTACCAACTCTGCAGACTAACACACAGTGATATTTGGTAGTGCTGTTATTTGGTAAAGTTGAAATGGGTAATAACACTGAAGGCCTCTAATTAAGATATATAAGGCATATACTTCATGACCAGTTTTTAAGTACAGAATAGGACTTAAAAGCTAACGTCATTGGGCTAAGAGTTCTCATATTTGGGGGGCGTTGTATACCCTGGATTCAATATTGTTTGATTTTATATTTGAGGAATAGGTAATAAGGGTTATTATTCATTACTTGCTGTTTTGTTTTTCATAATTTTGGAAAAGTTATACAAAGCTGAACATGCTGGAAAAAAGGGTACTTAAGGGGCTGTAAATTATATCAGTAAATCAGAGCAGCGATCGTAGTCTTTTGCAAGAAACATTAAGGACTTGGATTTTTTTAAAGACTTATTTACCACTCAACTTCTGATTTAATACCAGGATTCTAGTAAGTTTTTGAGCTTTAATTCAAAATTAAAGTGAAAAATCAGAGGACCATGTATCTGAACTCAAAATCGGAGCATGGTGGCTGAAAATCTCTGTTAACTTTCTGCCATTTACACTGTTGCTTTTCCCCAGTGACTCTTTGCCAATTGTGTTGCTTCTGACAGATCAGCATTTCACAAAATTTCATCCCATTCCCATAAAACTTTAAGGGAGAAGTGTTTAGGGAAGATAACAGTCTTCCATATGTGTTCCTTACCAAGGGGAAGGTTTTTTTGGGGTTTTTTTTTTTGGTTATATATAAAAAATTAATCTTAGTTGGTAGAAATAATGATATTATGGAAACTTTACTAGACACAAAATAATGCATCTAAATTTTGTTTCACAGAGAACTTCACAGGTTAACTGCATTGGAAACGAAACATATTCAGAAGCTGTACTATGATCTGTGTGTGCCAATTGATCAAATAGTAATTCTGTGCTACTAACGCACCTATGAAGGAAGAGTCTGAAGTGAGATCAAGTGAGATATTTTCAAGAGGTATCACGAAATCTTAACTTTAAAAAGGTATTAGTCATCCAGAACACTTAGAGATAGATGTCTGTAGCTGTAAAGCAAGGAAATTGAAATGGCTACAAAGAAAAGCTGCTACAATGGTTAGGTGAATTGGTGAAAATTAACTTGGCAGAACATTGATAGGGCTGGGGTAGAACACCACGAGCGAATGGAGATGTATTGTTCATGAAAAAAAAAAAGACTGGTAATTGGAGTATTTCTGCTGTTTCAAAAAAAAGAAAGCAAGTAACTGGAGAGTATAGCCTGTGAGGATGAGAGAGTCATCTTTCCTCTCCGCTCTGGGTTTACAAGACTTCACCTGGAACGGTGTGCCCAGTTTGGTATATCGCGCTTCCAGGAAGATGTAGACCATCCAGAAGAGAGCAAAGAAAGAGCACGATCCAGAGTCTACAAAGCCCGATTTACTAGGAAGGACAGAAGGAATTGTTGGTATTTGCTCTACGCTAGAGAGAGAGAGAGGAAAAAAAAAATCTTCCAAGTATGTAGAAGGGGAGCTTTGCACTTGTGTGATCTTTGTCTCCCTGATGCATTTAATACAGGACTGTTACATGCCTGTTGTGGCGATGAAGAATAATAATGGGCTCATTTTGGAGGGAGAAATAGTTTAGTTAGATATTGGGGAAAAAAAAATCCAGTGGCAAATGTAATAAGGATGTGGGAGGACTTTGACGCCTTTATCGTTAGAAATCTTTTAAAATGTACGTGTGTAAGAATACCTGCTCAAGACTTGCCCATCTCACTGCTGTGTATGTGGCAATAATTACATGCTGCGTGCCCAACACCTTCAGCTTCTCTCCACCCTAGGCTTTCTGGATGGGGGTCTAAGGAAGAAGAATGAGCACCACTTACTGGTAAGAAACCAGTTTTTCTCTTTTTTTGTTTCGAAGAACATTTACACTGAGAAACTTAAAACAGTGCTCCTGACAAATACAGTTTATCTGAAGGAAGATCCTTAAGGATGGGCAAAGATTGTACGTGTCATTGTGTCACACTTGTCAGGTTGAGTACCTGACGTGATGGTTGTGAATGTCTAATCACAGGTGCTGCTCATGCCTGGATGGATGTGAATTGATGGATTGCATCCTTATTGCTTGAAGAATCAAGCTGCCTGAAAGTAGAGACGAGCTGGCTGTGTAAGAGAAATGCGTTGGCCTCTTCCGCAGTGGAGCTTCACCATGAACTGGTGGCAGGCCCAACTGTCTCATCGTCAAGAACTGGAAAGGTTTTGCAATGCACTGATGGGTCATTTGGAATGGGAAAGGTGTTTCACACCGAGTAGGCTGGCAGTGTAGGTCTTGGGATGAGGAACATGAGTCAGCGTCTGGCATCAGTGAATCGCTAGTCTGCAACCACATGCTCGGAGACACCCATCTAGAATCATAGAATCATTAAGGTTGGAAGAGACCTCAAAGATCATCGAGTCCAACCATCAACCCAACACCACCATGCCCACTAAACCATGTCCCTAAGCGCCTCATCTACCCGTCTTTTAAATACTTCCAGGGATGGTGACTCAACCACTCCCCTGGGCAGCCTGTTCCAATGTTTAACTACTCTTTCAGTAAAGAAATTTTTCCTTACATCCAATCTAAACCTCCCCTAGGAGGGGTCCTTCATGTGGTGAAAGCTTTATCCAGGCCCCGTCCAGTCCTACTTCACGTTTCATTCCTCAAAGGCCAAAGGAGCTGGCCCAGGCTAAGCTTTAGCTTCTGTGTTTGGCTGGGGCAAGGAGGGTAGGAGGGTGATACGGGTCCAAGATCTTCAGGCTGTCTCAAGGTCCTCTCCTGGGGTTGCTGGGTTTTTTTGCATGATGAGACTGCAGGCCCTTTTGGCAGTGGCTCTAGTCTGTGATCACTGAGGTGAGATGTGATGCTCTCTAGAGAAGTGGTAAACTGCAGCCAGTCTCCCGAAGAATACCCAGGCTTTGTTTTCTCACGGTTCTGGTATCCACCACCAAAGCTACTGTTTTTCTAAAACTTCCTGCCCATAAAAATCGAGGTCGCTCTGAGCTTGGGATTTAAGCAACTTCTTCCAACTTCAGTTCTAGCACAGGATGCAGATTTTTTTTTTTTTCCACCCAAGTAAGATTAGTATTTGCCTGCAAGCAAAATATGTGTACTTTCCTGGGCAGTTGTGAGCTGTACCTCGAAGTGCCTTTTGCACTAAACTTTGTGCATGAAAAGCTTTCAGTCTTACTTGGTCTATGCTGTAGCTTCTGTACTGTGACTTGCACTTAAATGAGTCAGATCTGAGTCTATTTTGAGTATCATCTTCTGCATGTCCCTGTTGATGGGACAGGCAAGACACCATGGAAAGGGGCACCTGGGGCAGACTAACCAGGGAGGGTAGTATTACCGTACCACGCTGAGGATACAGTCAAGCTAAAGCATCAGGATTTTGTAAAATAATAGCCTGACGACCATACACAAGTGAAGGAGTAGAGTATGACCGATGCTATAAAGGTTAGTAGTGCTCTAATTTAGGTTAGTTTAGTTCTCAAAGGAAGACTAGCAGATACTGTTCTGATCTGTTGTAGATCTAAATGTTTGTACTGTGTTATCCTCAACTTTACAGCTGACAATGTATGAAATAATTAAAAAACCATTTCTTTCAGGGAAGATTTTGCAATGTGACCTTCTTATAAGATGACAGTCTGAAAACAATAGAAACATTGAGTCTTTGACTTTAAAAGAGCTCTCCTTTAGGCAGAGCCAACAGTGAGATTTTAGTGCAGCTTATGAAAAACAGGCACTAGAAAATCAGTCAGTTAAGTATCACACAAGCCCATTGCTGAGTAGCGCCTACTAACACAGCTTGAATGGATGAAGTTGATAAACCCAGGATTTGAGATATCGTAGGCTGTCCAGAAGTAGTTGGCTCCTGTAAGCCATAAGGTGTGTTGTCATTGTCAGTAAAGCTGGATTTTGGTGGAAAAAAAACAGCAGAAAGTTCAAAAGCCTGTTAACATGAATCTCTTCTGAAATGCAGCGCACTTAGTCTGTGCTGCTCTCGTGACACTGAACGCGGAGCGGCTCCCGACACATTCGAGGGTGGCTCGGTAACCAGTGACTTGGCTGCCAGGGACCTGCATAGCGGCTTGGGCTGCTTTGGCATCAGAGGCATTCCACAGGGCCGGCAGCATCGGCTTCTACTGAACTGGTGCCAAATCAGCCACAGACCATCATCTTTGATGTCAGGATCTGCAAAATCATTGAAACAAGGTTGGTTTTGACTGCATCTGGCCCTCATGTGAACTTGGCTTTGATGTGGTCCCTTTCTTTAAGGGGCTAGTGTATTGGAGTTTTGTTTAGATGTCAGAACTGTCCTTTTTGTTATTTCCCTGCTGTTCATTGTCGGTCCATCAGGACTACGAGTACTGTAAAACATCCATTGCTATCTTGGGCTTCTGGCACCGATCTCTAAGAAGCTGAGATTTTAAGAATGTCATGAATTTGACAATCTCACTTGTATTTCCAACTTCGCCCCTTTCAACATTTCTCAACATCTTACCAGGAGCCTGATACCAGAGTTCAGACAGTCCCTCTCAAATAAAAGA